TACCAATGAATTGAACAAACTAATATTATATAATAGAGGTTAATTATTTCAAATTCTGGAGAGAAAAAAGCTCTATTAAATAACACCTTGATTCTGAACTTCACATTTATATGGTGCTCACCACGTATTAACATGGTCAATTCTGGGAGTTTAAATAATTTTGCTCTTAACCCTGATGCTTAGACTTGGAACAAATGTACCCTACTGCCAACTTTGGCAGAAGCATATAACTAAGCAAACAGTAAGTAGTATGAATTGAACTGCAGCACCCCCTTCCCACCACAAAAAAAAAAAAAAAACTGTTTTGAAGTCTTAACAGCTTGCACCTCAGAATGTGACCTTATTTGCAAATGAGGTCGCCGGTAGAGATAGTTAGTTAATATGTGGTCATACTGGAGTAGGATGGGTCCCTTATTCTATATGACTGGTGTCCTTATGAGAAGACAGCCATGTGGACAGAGACACAGGAGGATAATGCCATGTGATGGTGAGGGCAGAGATTGGAGTGACAGAACTGCAAGGCAAAGGATGCCAAAGACTGTCAGCAACCACCAGATGCTAATAAGAGGCAAGGAAAGACTCTTCCCTTTGGGTTTCCAAAAGGAGCCTGGCACTGCAAACAACATTTGGACTTCAGGACTCCAGGACTGTAAGATGATAAACGTCTGCTGTTTAAGCCACCCAGTCTATGTCACTTATGACAGCCCTAGCAAACTAATACAGCAAGTAGGAGTAGAGGATGGATAATCATCAGTATAAAGAAAGAAGTAGAAAAATTGAAGTGAACCTACTGTTAAATCCTTTATAGAGATGATCCTGACACTGGAAGTTATCTGTGAAGAGAACACGTCAGACAGCTTCATGAAAAACAACACACAAGCCAAACTTGAAGGACACCAGCGGATGGGTAGAGAGTCTTTCGGGCTTCAGAGACAGCACAAACATAAGGGAATAGGTAAAAATGCACGGGATCTTTGAGGGGACAGTGTATGCCGGTGACTGGAGGATGAAGGGACACTTGCAATGAGAGAGAGAACTGGTCAAATAGGGCACAGGCAAAGCAGGGCAGCAAAAAGAGAATGCTGAAGAGATTGGAACTGGAGCACAACCTCCCCACAGCCGAGCTTTAGGAAGGTGAGTTGTTTCTGAGTGAGGAGATTGGATTGGAGAAGAAGCTAATGGGAAAGGCCAGTTAGGAGATGGCTGTAACTACCTGGAGGAGATGCAGGAGGGCCTTCCTGGCACAAGCTGGCTGCAGGAGCAGAAGATTCCCTTACACTTGGCCACAGAAAGGAATTGGTCACTGGTGAGGAGTGCGGAATAGAGAATAGTTCTGAGTCCATGTAATTAGGAGGTCGGAGACAACTGAAAGCTGGCTCGGAGCAGAAATGAAATGCTCCTGATATTCTGCTGTTGAGGAGCTAGTGGGACATTGAGGGAGCAATGCTCAGCTACTGCTCAGTGATGGAGTAAAGCTTGGAATTATAGGGAGAGGTTAGATATGCACATTTCTACCACCCTAAATGTGACCACTGGAAACCTGGGAGAGACTGAGACCACTCAAAGAGACAGGATCAAAAGTTGAGGAATGACCACTTTAAAAAAGAGAAGCCAGTAGCAGTAGTACATGCCCATAGTCCCAGCTACTCAGGAGGCCAAGGCAGGAGGATCACTTGAGCCCAGGAGCTGGAGACCAGCCTGGACCAGCCTGGGCAACGTAGCAAGACCCTGTCTCTAAACAACACCAACAACAAAGGAATCAGAGGAAGTGGTTCTGTGGTGCAAGTTTCCAAGAGGAGGTGGAGATGCAGTGCCCCTGCTCATTTCTCTTTACAAGGTCATGGAAACAGATGAGACCTGAAAAATTCTTAGATGCTAAGTATTTGGCCTTGCAGACAGCTTAATAGTGTTCACAAGCAGAAGCCAAATAAGAGCTCTCTCCATTTGCTCTGTAGGTTTTCTGGACCTATTGAGAACATAAACACCACAAATCATTTGTCTCAGGAAGGCTCTTTTATTAGATTGGACAACCCTAAGAATGGAAAATGCATCTGCCTTGGAGAGATGTCCTTGACAGTGAAACTGGATTGTATTTCTTCAAAGGAAACTCTTGCCAATGACCTCTTTTCCCTTGTATCCCATCCCTGCAAAGTTTCTAACCTCCAGCCTACAGCTAACCCCACATGGGCTGTGTACTTCACAGAGTGTTTACTTCTGTGGATTTCAGGATGTGGTGGAGCCCTTGAAAAGCAAGATATTTTTTGATATTTGACCTGTTCAGATGGGATGAAGATTAACCCCAGACGTTCCTGAGGTTGTAAAACATTCAGTTGAGTGTTTTAACTTTACTTTAATGCAACCCCCCCTTTTTTTTTTTCTGTAGCAAAGGAGAAGAGCCAGCAAATAAAGTTGGGAGGTTAAGTACTCTCAGTATTTCCAACCTAAGGCAGAAGCACCATAAATCTCAGAAGGAAAGCTACGCTCAGCGTGCTCACAGGCACAGGGTTCTCTGTGGTTCAGATAAGGTGAAGATTGCTAATCCAAAGGCCTCATCTGACCTGATTTCCAGTTCCAGCTCCTGCGGTGGCTGAAACATGGATTACTGGGAAATGATTGCCCTGGGTACTGTTGGCTTTACTTTTAAATAGGTATGTGTTTCATGTAATATTTAAACTTAGATTGGTTAAAGTGGACCAGGACAGAACATTGAAAAGTTAATAAAACCTTAAATTGGTTAATAGAATCCCAGCACTGCTATAAACCCTGGAAGCAATCTCTGAGGCATACTTGAGTTAGTGATATTTTTACCTGAGCAAGATTTTTTTCATCAACACTTCACTCGAAGGGCTGCCTTGTATGGGTGACATTAGTTTATCATATCTTTGAGGAGCATTTTTCTGTTTGTATGACTCTTCGTGGATACATTTGAAAAATGATCTCAGATCAAAGTGGACTCTAATCTTATCCCCAGTGTTCATTCCCTCACCCTCCCATGGGACCTTTCCTCCTGCAACCTCTGTGAAGGAAGGCACCCTGTCCTGGTCTCTGCTCCTAGACTAGCGTGTTGCACAATGCCTGTGACATTTCTTAAGTACACTGTCATTCCAAAATTCTAGAAACTCACTCAGTTTTGTCACAGAGAAGAGTTACGTTGCTGGTGCTTTTGGGCTTTGTTTTGCCGAGTAGAAAGCGAAGTCTTTTCCTCGTGCCCTGTGAAGGGTCCCTGGCACATTCACCACTTTCACCCTGCACATTCTCAAGACTCTCACAAAAGCCACAGGAAAGGCCTTCTCATTTCCACAGAACATTAAAAAATAAAAAAAGCGACATCAGAAAACCAGATGTAGTGAAAGGCGATGCTGAGAAACCTGCAGTTTTTCGTTGTGTTTTGTGTTTCCTGCTGGCCCATGGCATCGAGGCTGGGTTTGCTCTGGGAAGCTGGGCATGCCACCCAGGACTGCCTCTTGTTTCTACAGATGGGAATTAGATAAACATTCAGATGCAGAATGGTCTTCCACCGAGTGTCCATGATTTAATCTCCTTTTAAATCATGGAAGATTGCCATCCTCGGCCAGTAATGGGAGTACCAAGAGGAATTTTTGGACACTTGGCTAAACCTCAGCCATGACTCTCAACAATGTGCACAGAGGTAGGATGGGGGTGAAGAAGTTCATCCCCTGCCATTCTGTCAGGGGTGGCACGGCCAAAACCAAATCCTCTTCTCACCAACTCTTTCCCCAGCTAGTCAGGATGCAACTCCATGAGACAACACAGATGGAATTCTCAGGTCAGCCCAAAGCACAGTGGCATTAGTAAGTGACAGCTCTTAGGTTTTATTTCCACAAATCCCTGTTCATGAGGTATAAGGACTAGAGAAGAGACTGGGAGCACCCATGAATACTTCATTTTACTTTTAGTTGTTTGTAACCAAGCTGCTTCCAAATGATTACCATTTAATTTTATAAATGCTCAAAATGCAATCTTTTAAATATTTTACTTGGCCATGTCATCTCAGATGCAGGTCAGTATCTGGCCCAAAGGTGACACAATGCACCATCTCCCATTTTATGCTGTCTGTGGCTCTACCTGACTCAGCAGATCCAGCCTTCTCTGAGGTTCTAGGAAGAGAGCTGAGCTGACCTCTTCTGTCAACAAGCGCTCTGGAGATCTCTGGCTTCAACTCCAAAGGAACCCAGCACTTTACTCTGCCCCAACAAGCACCAGGGTTATTAGGAGACCATGATTGTGGCCATAATAATAAAATGGAACTGGCTTTTTCTATTTTATGACGAAAAATAATATTTAAGGTAGAAAGGGTCATAGGGAAGCTTTTTGAGTAATTAGAAGGATTGGAGAAAGACTTTCCCAGAATGATACCAAATTCCTGGCACAGATGAGAATTCAGCCATCACCCACAGCCACAGTTGAGCATTGAACATTAGGAACTCGGCTTGACTTGACTGACGCAGCCATTGGCACGGACACCTTCCTATGCCTTGAATTTGACATTAAACTCCTGAAAAGCCATTGCTGCAGCTGATGCCACTGTAAACAGCCTGCTCCTCTGCCCAGACCAGCACAGATTAGTCTATGTTGCCCACTTTAGAACTGAAGTTCAGGACCTGGATAACTGAGTGTCAGCCAAGATCACAGACCTGTGTCCCATTTGCAAAGGGAGATGAAAACATGAGTCACAAGGTCCACATGAAAGGGTCCCATCATCAGGGACATTGTGACAGGCTAAGAAATATGGATAAGGCACTAAAATATAAAAGGCAGTCAGGAGTACCACACATGACCACAGCAGGCTGTGGAATCCACAAAACTGGGCTGGCTTCCAACCCTGATTCCACACTTGTGTTTGATAAATGGTAGTGAGTATAACCATCCAATGGGTTCACTTTGCCTGCTGCCCAGACAGAGCCGATTTATCAAAGGCAGGGGAATTGCAATAGAGAAAGAGTAACTCATAGAGGTCCTGCTGTGCAGGAGACTGGAGTTTTATTATTACTCGAATCAATCTCACCAAACATTCAAGGATCCGAGTTTCTAAGAACAACTTGGTGGTGGGTGGAAGCCATTCAGCCTGGAGTGCTGATCGGTCAGGTTGGAGATGAAATCATAGGAAGCTGAAGCGGTCTTCCTGCTTTGAGTCAGGTCCTGGGTGGGGTCCACAAGATCAGACGAGCCAGTTTATCAATCTGGGTGGTGCCGTCCAGTTCAGGGTCTGCAAAATATCTCAAGCACCGATCTTAGGAGCAGTTTAGGGAGGGTCAGAACCTCGTAGCATGACTCCTAAACCATCATTTCTAATCTCGTGGCTAACGCGAGTCCTACAAAAGTAGTCTAGTCCCCAGGCAAGAGGGGGGTTTGTTTTGGGAAAGTCTCTGTTTTAAATGGTAAATATAAATGAATTTCTTGCCAAAGGTAGTTCAGCCTATGCCCGGGAATGAACAAGGCCAGCTTGGGGGTGAGAAGCCAGATGGGGTCGGTTAGATCAGAGCTCTTTCCACTGTCTCAGTCACACCTGTGCACTGGCGGTTTCACAAGTGTTAGTATTTGGAGTTCAGGTCTCTCCTGCAATGCCTTTGCCCGTCTTAGGATTTGGGACTGCTCTACAACAAATTTTTTCCCTCTTTCAATCAGAAATGTATGGCTCAGCAGAGTAAAAGGGGCAAAGTATACAGGAAGTCTCTTTTCTTTTCTTTTTTTCTTTTTTTTTTTTTGAGACAGAGTTTCGCTCTTGTTACCCAGGCTGGAGTGCAATGGCCCGATCTCGGCTCACCGCAACCTCCGCCTCCTGGGTTCAGGCAATTCTCCTGCCTCAGCCTCCTGAGTAGCTGGGATTACAGACACGTGCCATTGTGCCCAGCTAATTTTTTGTATTTTTAGTAGAGACGGGGTTTCATCATGTTGACCAGGATGGTCTCGATCTCTTGACCTGGTGATCCACCCGCCTCGGCCTCCCAAACCTTTTACTTTCTTTGCTGTCATCCTGATGCCACACCATACCCTCGGAGACGTGCCCTTGAACACCTCATTCTTGCACCAAGCACAACCACAAACCCTTTTTTTATTATTAAAGATTTCCTTTATTCTAACCTCATTCCTTATTTCTATTGTTAGGCAATCAATTCCCACTCAAAAAAAAAAGAAAGAAAGAAAGAAAGAAAGAAAGAAAGCTATTAGGCAAATGTGTGACACATTGTGTTTGAATTCTATGCCTGGCATTATGAGCTACATGACCTTGACTAAGTCACCATCTTCTATTACATCATCAGCAAAATTACCATAAGATGGCCTGAAGATTTAAGTGGGGTAATTCATGTAAAAGTGTCTGGTGCTTATCACATTCTCAATAAAGACTGATTTCATTCCTCAATGTACGTAAAAAACTTCTGGCACAGTATGCAGCATACAATAGGCACTTAAAACACGTGCTTAATATTTCTGTATTTTAAACTAAAAATTTAAAAATATCATATGAAAATATGTTCACTTCACTTAAAGCCTCGCTGAAAACAAGAAGCAGCACAACATACGGTGCTCCCATAAGCCCGCGGATCTGGCCCCGTCTCAGTCCATTCGGACTCTGTAACGAAAATGCCAGAGACTGGGTGGCTTTAACAACATTCATTTCTCACAATTCTGCAGACTGAAAAGTTCAAGATCAAGGTGCCAGCAGATTTGGTATCTGGTGAAGGCCTGCTTTCTGGTTCATAGAGGACACCCTCTTGCTCTGTCCACACATGGTGGAAGAGGCAAAGAAGGTCCCTGGGGCCTATTTTATAAGGGCGCTAATCCTATTTGTGAGGATCCACCCTCACAAGCTCATCTAACTCTAATCACCTCACCACGGCCCCACCTCCCAATATCATCCCATGATAATATAAAATTTATGGGACAAAATGTTCAGCCTATAGCAGTCTCCATTTGCAGGAAAGAATTGAGGTTCTGAAAATGGGGACATAGGACCAAACTGGCCATGAAAGAATGCAAAAAAAATAAACCATGGTCTGTCCTGACTTGAGCTGATGAATCACCTAGCGGTCTGAAGATGAACTGTCTGCAAAAGATCAAGATACGGTGGGCTCCCACCAGGAGAAGATCGAGGAATGTAAATTCGCGTTCCTTCAGAAACAAAAATAGGTTTGGGGCTACAGCAGGATGTGACTCTAAAAACAAGAAGATTAAATTGTAAAATCTCTTCTAGACAAACTCTCTTCAAGAGCTAGGGATAAAAATATGTTCCTGAAGTCAAGACTGACTTGAAAATCTGTAGGCATTACAAGGACTCCTCGCTGAAATGAGAGACACACACCTTTGATTTCTATACCTCCTGGAGGGTTATGTAATGTATGGGAAGATAGCTCAGAACACTAAGCCACTACCAAGGGGGAAAGCCAGGAAATTCAACCATGTGACCTTGAACCAGAGCATCAGGATGACCTCTGTATGTGGGATAGAGCAGGACATTTCTCATCAGAAATGAAGCAATAGTATTTTACCGGTTTTGATATTGGTATCAGTAAACATGTAAATTGATTTATCAGGCCTATTACTTTTTGTAAGCTCTTTATTATTAATCTTGAAATCAATCTTGGTATATACAGATGTTCTAGGCTTCTGGCTATAATGGACCGTGTCCTTTTCCTATGTTATATACAAGAAAACAGATACCTGATTATTAGGAAAAAATATTTTCTGATGATTCACAAAGTCACAAGTTCTGGAAAAGCCAAATAGTTTTGAAATAAGTAATAACGCAGTCATGAGCACAGAATATGGCCAAATGACAAGATAATTTGTGAAGAAGTTCCTGGATCTGGATTGGAATAGAGCTAGGGAGTGACTTAGCGGGCCCTCGTTGTGTTTAAGATGTGACTCAGAGCCTGTTGATCTTGCTGCGTTGGGTGTCTCTGGGAGAAGTAGCATTTGTGATTCATTGTAAACCTAAGAATTTTCCTATTTTTAATCATATTTGGGGAAGTTCTTTCAATAACCGTCTTGATGTTTCACTCCATGGCAACACTATCTTCCTGCAGCCCCAGTGTTGGGACCCTGTCTTATCTTTAAAACAAACAAACAAAAAAATTGTTTTACAGCTGGTTTAGTCTAACATGAAGTGTTGAAGTTTCCTCGAATGAATCAGTGAACCTGCGAACTGTGCATCACACGTAAAACAGACTATGCCCTGTGCACAGTAACACTAATATTGACAAAATGAATTGATATACAAAGATTTTTAAAAAACGAAAAGTTAGAATATTTGTTTTAAAATAATTTGCAATGTGACTTACAAAACATTTAGGAATTCTGTTTTCAAATAATTCACAATAGAACTTGCAAAACTATATACTTGAAATATCACATACCCTGAGATAATATATGTATATTTGTAGAAATCTTTTTGAAGTAAGCACAATCAATTTGAATTTAGTAATTTAAGATTATTGGACACTAAAGTGGCCTTGTTTTGATGGACTTTATTTTTGGGGAGTAGTATAAAACTCATAGCAAAATTGAATGGAAAATATAGAGATTTTTCCACAAACCTTCTAACCTACACCCCCTACCTCCACAGACTCCCCACTATCAACATCTCCCACTAGAGTGGAACGTTTGTTATGCTTGATGAATCTACAATGACACATCATTACTAACCAAAGTTCACTCTTGGTGTACATTCTGTGGGTTTGGACAAATGTATAATGACACGTATGCACCATTACAGCATCATACAGAAGAGTTTCACTGCTTTAATAATCCTCTGTGTTCTGCCTATCTGAACTAACATTTATTTATTTTGTTATTACCATATGTGTATTTATTATAAACTTCAAATAATATGAAAATTGCAAAACTAGAAAGTCAGAGATCCCTAAAGTCTCTCATTTCCTCATCACTCCAGCAAAGACAATCTCCACTGAAATTGAATCATAATTTCTCCAGCTTCACAATCTTTGGCATTAAAAGCTTTTTATGTGTACTGTACAAAAATATCTAACTATGGGATGTCATGAATATATTCTTCTACATTTTGTTTTATGAGCTTTTCCATTTCTCTCTTTTTTTCTTCAGAGGAAAATAGAGATCAGGACTCATGTATCTCCATAGAGAGATTCAACTGTTCTAGTCCTATTTATTTAAAAAGACTTTCCTTTTTTGCTGAGTTGATGTGATGCATTGATCAAAATTAAATAGACTATTTGGATTTCACCTCAGGTTTTTAAAGTGCTCAAAAGTTGATATTCTCTTTTTCACAACAAGAAAAAATTTAATAAATACAAATGAACAATTTGACTATGACCCATTAGAGGGTGAAGTCACAGGACAAACCACCATCTAGAAACTTGTGGAGATAGATGCCTGTAAAATATACAATGTTTGAAAAATAAATTTTATGCCGGGTGCGATGGCTCACGCCTGTAATCCCAGCACTTTGGGAGGCTGAGGTGGGTGGATCACGAGGTCAAGAGATCGAGACCATCCTGGTCAACATGGTGAAACCCTGTCTCTACTAAAAATACAAAAAATTAGCTGGGCATGCTGGCACGTGCCTGTAATCCCAGCTACTCAGGAGGCTGAGTCAGGAGAATTGCCTGAACCCAGGAGACGGAGGTTGCGGTGAGCCGAGATCGCTCCATTGCATTCCAGCCTGGATAACAAGAGCGAAACTCTGTCTCAAAAAAAAAAAAAAAAGAAAGAAAGAAAAATAAATTTGATATATGAAGAAAAATAAAACAGATTCTCTACTTTACACCACATTTCCAAGTAGATTCCAGCATATGAGAGCTCTGGATATAAAATATGACACAGTAAAGTTAATAGAAGAAGTTACTAGAAGAAAATGTAGAATTATATTTTTGTCTCCCAAAAGAAAATCCACAAAGTAAAATATTTATTGATTTTATTGAATGAAAATTAGATTTCTGTTTAAAATTAAGGATGTAAACTTCCAGTTTCAACTCCAGCACGTAACAGATGGGAAGTCATCACTTCTGTTCTTACAACAAGAAAAAGCTGGACAGTATAAAAAATCAGAGACCTTTTCTGGACCTATCAGATAACTGAGGTCACAGAGCAAACAACTACCTCAACATAAGAAGCAGCAAGTGCATCTAAAGACATAAAGCAGATGAGATCTGTTTCTCTAGAGAGAAAGCAATGGGACCCCATAATCCTGTTGGAACATAAACTAGAGTCTGAGTGGGCTGCATAACGGTGAGAAGTTCCTGAGTCATCACCCATAGGTGGGTCACACTTTCTAAAGCTTTTTTCCATATACCCCTCCACCCACTGCATTCCCATGAGAAGACTCCCCAACTCCTCTCTCCACTCTCTCTCTCTTCTCCCTCCTTACCCTGGCCTCGCCTGCCCTGGCAGTAAAAGGGGAAGAGTGGTCATCATGAAATCTTCTCTAACCTTTCTTCCTTACAATACAGAAGGCTTAATTCCAGTGATTTTACATGACAAGAGTGAAACTCAGTCCCAGCTAGGGAAGAGAACTCTACCCTGTTTCAATACTGCTCAAAATGCCCTTTCTCTATTAGCTAAGGCAAAGAAATAAACACACACAAAAAACATAATTTATAGGGAGAGGGCTCCAAAGGCACAGATTTCAGAGATTATTAGCTGCATGTGAGGAATGAATTACATTGTAGGGAAAGCTTTAACCCTTATTAAGAGGGATCTGTGAAGGCTGTATCCTCAGGGTAGCCTGTTATGTACCCCAAAGGCTGAAAATTAATCAAAAGATTAGAGATTCCTTCTTTTCAAACACACATAGCCTAGAAATATGTTTGTAAACTTTTAGTTAGTAGACTACAGCTGGGAGAAGTGCAAGAAAGTCACTCTCTCTGAGGACTAGAGCAAATGGAAGCCACAAAACAAAGAAGAGAGGAAGAAGCAGGGGCAATAGAGAAATGGCATGCCTCTACTGCCTGCAGGGATAAGGGATATCAAACAGCCCAACTCGTAAAGGCTAATTCAATCTCAGTATTCATTACCCTATACAACAAAAAAATTACAAGCCATGCAAAAAGACAAATCAACACAGTCTAAGGATACAAAACAATTATCAGAAGCAGACACCAGGATGGCATAGATGTTGAAATTATCAAATAAACATGGAATGTAATATGATGATGATTAATGATGTGTTAAAAAGGTTAAAGGAATAAAATATCAGTAACACACAGGATGAGATAGATAATGCCAGCAGAGACGTGGAAACTCTAAGGAGTCAAACGAAAATGCTAAATATCAAACACAGAGTAACATAATAAAGAACAACTTTGATGGGCTGGATTATCAGTAGACCTAACACGGTGACAAGGAAATAATAACTAAAAATGAAGGTTGGTCAATAGAAATTATCTAAACTTAAACACAAAGAAAAATAAGAAAGGAAAAGAAGAACGTCCAAACATTGTGCTAAAATATCAAGTGGATTTAACATTCATGTAATTGAAATACAGGGAGGATATAAAAGAGAGAGGATTGTCTCTATGAAGGATTTCAAAAAGGCAACAGCAGAACATTGCACCACAAGCAGGATGCTTATGAATGTAAGACCCGTGCAACTGCTTCACCAAAGGCCTACCTTTGATCCTTCTTTGTATGGTACTTGAATTTTCCTTTGTTAGTATATAAAAAAGGCCCTCCATGAACGCGGTCTGCTCTGGCACTGCATTTCCCACTGCTGCCTTCCATGTGCTATCGGCCAGCCCACAGTGCAGCATAGCTCGCCTCTGGTCTTCATTGCTGCATGCATCAGTACACACCTTGCAAGGCGTGGATGAGGCAGACCAAGACAAACTGTGTTAAGGCTGTTACCACAGTGCTCTGGCAATCCTATGGCCTTATTAAAGTAACAACACCTCCATTCTCCCCATTCCACCTCACTTTCCCACCCTTTAAACAACCCCTCAACCTCCAAAACCAAACATAAGGCTTTTCTCTTCTTAGAAATTTGCTCTGACTTCCTCCAGGTCAAGTGACCATTCCTTCTTTTGTACTATTATGTACCACACTGCACCTAATAGGACCTTCCCCCATACAACTGTAGCTTACAGATGAGCAGAAAAACAGACATCCACTCACTATGATGAAAAGCAGATTCAGGTTCAGAACACTAAAGTTCACTGAGCTTTCTGCTCTACTTTCTGCCAGGCACCACAGTGAGCCACTTTGCTGCTGGTTTTGCAAGCGAGCTTAAAACCACGCAAAGTAGATGCTTTTAGCATTCTTATTTCTGACATGAGGAAACAAAATCCAGAGGGTTACATAACTTCCTGGGCGGCGGGTGGAGGGGGGTTGTCACATGAATAGCACTTTGGCTCCTTATAGGAAAGGGAAGAAGTAAAAAAGATTTCTATGGTAAATTTATGGGTAAGACAGATGTTTTGTTACCTGTTTTTAAGATAGTTCCAGGCCAAAATGTTTGTAATCGGTGTTTTTCAGACTGAAGGTTTAAAATTTCTGTTTAGAAAATTAGAGAATCAGATCACTTTAAATACATCTTACACAGAGACTAAAAGACAGACCTTCTGGGTTTGAGCAGAGCTCTGGAGGGCTCCATAGGACACATGTAGCCTTACTACCCACTGCCTGTAGCCCCTTCCCGACGTAGAGCACACACACTCACACACCCACATGCACAATATTTGGGTCTTGATTGCTAAAGAGAAAATTTTTGAAAATCTAACCTTTGCAGTGCTAGGATAGAGTGTGGACAATCATTGCATGCTTATCTATATAGTGGAGAATAGCCAAAATGTACCTTGAAGGAAAATCATGTCCATTTTTCTCAGCAACTATGACATTGAACCATCTGCCACTATACTTATTCGGTTGAGATCAAATATATTAAAGATATTTTTAAGGAATACCTAAGAAAGATCTATATATCCTTGAAGTACTATTTAAATTCAGACCATCAGCAAATTGTGTTTTGGGAATGTATCTTTTCACCTCCCATACAATTGCATTTTCTAAGATGCATTTAGGCCTAAATTAATTGTTAGAATCTGAGAAATAATATAAGGAACAGCCTTATAAAACTCAATAATTTTATTAATGTTTCGAGGATTCATTTGATTGTTTAACATGTATTGAGTTCCTGGCTGGGTGTGGTGGCTCATGCCTGTAATCTCAGCACTTTCGGAGGCCAAGGAGGGCAGATCATCTGAGATCAGGAGTTCGAGACCAGCCCAGCCAACATGGCGAAAACCTGTCTCAGCTAAAAAAAAAAAAAAAAAAAAAATATACAAAAAATTAGCTGGATGTGGTGGCACACATCTGTAATCCTAGCTACTTGAGAGGCTGAGGCAAGAGAATGACTCGAACCTGAGAGACAGACACTGCAGTGATCCAAGATGGCACCACTGCACTCCAGCCTGGGTGACAGAGCAAAACTTCATCTCAAAACAAAACAAAACACACCATGTCTTGAGTTCCCACTATGTACCCAGCACTCTGCAACGATGTAGATAGAAAAAGAGGAAATGGTAGACACACTCATACCTCATAGATTTTACGTTTTGCAGAGAGATCATTAATAGTTATATAAATAATTACTTGACTTTGGTGGTATTAATTACCTGACAATCACAACAGTGGCTCTAATAGTGAAGTTCAGTCTGTCTTGGGGAGAAGAGTAAAGGCTTCCATAAGGAAGTGGCATATAAGCCAAGTGCCGAACGATGGGTAAGAAACAGCTGGATTTAAGGATTGTGGGACTATATTGAAATGCTTTTTTATGAAGATTTGATCATCTTTTTGAGAAACCTGTAGGAGAAAGTTCATTCCCCAAGGTTAGGAATGGTGGGTCTTTGTTCCAATAGCTAATTTGTTTGTATGGCATGGAAACACAGTAGTGAATTATTTCTTAGTGGAAGTTGGCTTTTCATTTTTGTACCAGTAAATTAGCACAGAGACCTCCTACAGAAGGAAATAAAGAAATAAATCAGACTTCATAAATTTCAAAGTTGTGTATCTGAAAGGACATTATCACCCATGACACGATGGTTTCATTACTGAATTTTACCAAACATTTAAAGAAGAAATAATACCAATCCTACCCAAACTATTCCAAAAATTAGAGGGGATGAAATACTTGCAAACTTATTATTTGAGGTCAGTATTATCCTGATACCTAAATCAGACAAAAGCACATCAAAAGAAAGAAAGAAAGAGAGAGAGAAAGGAAGGAAGGAAGAAAAGAAAACTACAGGCCAATATCTCTGATAAACATTGATGCAAAAATCTTAGTAAAATACTAGCAAACTAAATCCAACAACACATTAAAAAGATCATTCATCATGACTGAGCAGGATTTAGGCAAGGATGGTTCAACATACGCAAATCAATCATATCAATAGAATACAGGAAAAAGAAATTATCATTTTAATTGATGCTAAAAATTTTGAGAAAATTCACCATCCCTTCATGACAAAATGCCCTCAGCAACTAAGTATAGAAAGAACATACTTCAATATAATAAAAGCCATATACAACTAGTATCACACTGAATGGGAAGGAACTAAAAGCCTTTTCTCTAAGATCTGGAAGAAGACAAAGATGCCCACTATCATTACTATATTCAACATAGTACTGGAAGGCCTACCCAGACCAATCAGACAAGAGAAAGAAAGAAAGGGCATCTAAATTGGAAAAGAGGAAGTCAGGTATCTCTGCTTGCAGATTATATGATCTTATATTTAGAAAAACCTAGACTCCACCAAAACCACTAAAAATGATAAATTTTTTAAAGATGACAGATACAAAATCAATATACAAATATCAGGAGCATTTCTATATGTAAATGATCTGAAAAAAATTATAAAGTAATCTCATTTACAATAGCTATGAATAAAATAAATACCTAAGAATTAACCAAGGGATGTGAAAGATCTCTCCAATGAAAACTATAAAACACTGGTGCCAGAAATTCAAAAGAACACATGAGAAATAAAAACATACTCCAGGTTCATAAATTGGAAGAATTGATATTGTTAAATATTAATACTATCCAAAACAATCTACAGATTTAATGCAATTCCTATCAAAATACCAATGGCATTCTTCACAAAAATAGAAAAAAATAATCCTAAAACTTATATGGAAGTACAAAAGACCCCAAATAGCCAAAACTATCCTGAGAAAAAATAAGAAAACTGGAGGAATCATATTATCTGACTTCAAATTATACTAGAGCTATAGTGACCAAAACAGTATGGTACTGGCATAAAAATAGACACATAGACCAATGAAACAAAATACAGAACCCAGAAATAAATCTAGACATTTACAGTAAACTCATTTTTTATGAAGATACCAAGAACATAAGTTGGGGAAAGGACAGTCTCTTCAATAAATGGTGTTTGGAAACCTGGATGTCCATATGCAGAAGAATTAATCTAGATCCCTATCTCTCACGACATACAAAACAATTAAGTCAAAATGAATAAAAGACTTAAATCAGGGGTGTCTAATCTTTTGGCTTACCTGGGCCACATTGGGAAAAGAAGAAAGGTTTTGGGCCACACAAAAAATACACTAACAGGCCGGGCGTGGTGGCTCAATCCTGTAATCCCAGCACTTTGGGAGGCTGAGACGGGTGGATCACGAGGTCAAGATATCGAGACCATCCTGGTCAACATGGTGAAACCCCGTCTCTATTAAAGATACAAAAAATTAGCTGGGCATGGTGGCGCGTGCCTGTAATCCCAGCTACTCAGGAGGCTGAGGCAGGAGAATTGCATGAACCCAGGAGGCGGAGGTTGCAGTGAGCCGAGATCACGCCATTGCACTCCAGCCTGGGTAACAAGAGCGAAACTCGTCTCAAAAAATAAATAAATAAATAAATAAATAAATAACAGTAACAATAATTGATGAAGTAAAAATACATAAATAAATAAATCTCATAATGTTTTAGGAAAGTTTACAAATTTGTGTTGGGCCTCATTCAAACCTGTTCTGCACTGCATGTGGCTCGTGGGCAGTGGGTTGGACAATCTTGACTTAAATGTGAGACCTCAAACTATAAAACTACTGCAAGAAAACACTGGGGAAACTCTCTCAGGCATTGGTCTGAGAGAAGTTTTGGAGTGATACCCTACCAGCACAGGCATTCGAAGCAAAAATGGACAAATGGAATCACATCAAGTTTACAAACTTCTGCACAGCAAAAGGAACAATCAGCAAAGTGAACAGATAACCCACAGAATGGGAGAAAATCTTTGTGAACTCTCCATCTGACAAGGGATTAATAACCAGAATATGTAAGGAGCTCAAACAACTCAATAGGAAAAAAAAATCTAATAATTTGATTTTAAAATGAGCAAAAGATCTGAATAGACATTTCTCAAAAGAAGACATAAAATGGCAACCAGGCATATGAAAATATATTGAACATTGTTGATTATCAGAGAAATGCAAATCAAAGCTACAATGAGATCTCATCTCACCTCAGTTAAAATGGCTTTTATTCAAAACACAGGCAATAATAAATGCTGACAAAGATGTGGAGAAAAGGGAGCACCTGTATACTGTTAGTGGGGATGTAAATTAGCACAAAGACTATGAAGAATAATTTAGGGGTTCCTCAAAACACTAAAAATAGAGCTACCATATAGTTCAGCATTCTCACTGCTGGGTATATACTGAAAAAAAAAAAGAAATCAGTATTATTGAAGAGATATTTGCACTCCCATCCTACTCTTCACTCTAAACCCAAAGACAATGACAGGACTTATATCCTGTGGCTATAGTTTAACCAAAACATTAGATTGTGAGTATAAAAATAGAAGTCCATAACTTCTTACCTATCGGGAAAGTATGCAAGAACTGCTATTTCATGCCTCCATGCCTAATAGCATATGGCTTTCTCAACTTTTTTTTTTTTGAAAGGAGAATTACAACTTTAATCCAGTAAGAAGGCACTGGAGTTTAGAGTTTGCAAACAAATGCCCATTACCTTCATTATGTCTTAAGCAGTAGGAACCATTTCAAGCCTTTACACAATCAGTCTGAGATGGAGGGTGAATTCTAAGCTCCCTGTAGAGTTGAGGTGACAGGAAGATTTTCTAGAATCAGATAAATGCTGTCAGAAGGAGAGTCAGGCTTATAAAAACTCCAAGAAAAGATTTCAGAAAGATAATTTCAAATAACTGCTAGATAGAACTGGTCACAGACTGGAGGCTTAGATTTGGCTGAGCTCTAT